GCAATTTATAGTGCTTTTGGTTTGTACGGATTCTCCAAACATCATCCATCACCAGGCCGTATATTTTTCTGAGGATTTTTCTCTCCCATGTATTGAGCGGGTTCTCTGATTCTTTGGTAAAGGACCAAGTCTCACTAGCGCAAGTACTACCGGTTTTATTATACACTGTTTTTTGCGATCTCTGTAGTTTGAGCTCGGTAAGTGGGGGTGTCTTCTTTACCCCCTTCCCATGTCCACGATGACCCCTAGAAAAGTACATGAATTTGTTAACATTCCTTGCACCATGAAGATATGAATGAGGGCCACACGGATCAATGCATACAGCGAATGGATTCCTATAGCTCAGGGTGAGTTTTCATAGACAATGAACTTCTTCTTTTAGATGAACTTTAGCTGACCCCAAGTTGTTTACAATTACATAAAGTCTATGGCCTGTATAATTAGACATTTGTAAAAATATCGAGACTAACCGAGAAAGGAATACAATGTGTAAGCCCGCTTTAGAAATTTCTCTGAAACAGATTATATACATATATACGCCTCTATTTGAGGGGTGACGAGAGAGATTTTTGCTATTTCCATACGAGGCGAAGATTTATTTATTAATATTTGTCAAGTGTGTGTATGTTTCTTTTTCAACATTTTACAATCTTCAACATTGTACCGGCACAACAAGTCATCATTGTACCATACTGAAAGTCCATACCTATAAGTGTTATTCTTTTGATTTTTTAATTAACTGAATAAAATTATCAATTGGGATTAGCCCTAGTTTGAGTATCGTTTTCTTTGTTATTCTATTTAATGTCTTCGTCTTTTGTTGTGTACTGTTTGTCAACGAGCCATATAGACAATAAGATATTAAATTCTCTAATTTTACAACGTTACGCCTACATAACATGAGCCACGAGCAACCTTTTAATTGATTCTGCATTCTAAAATTTACGAGTAAAAACTTTTTAACTTGTTGATTAACAAGTTAAAGATGTAATAAAACTTTTCCCTACAGTTGTATGTGTCATTTAAATAGATCAGCACAAAGTTAAAATTATTTTATATATTTATTTATTTTATAATTCATTTGGGGGGGGGGGGTCAAAATCTTGACATAACTAAATTAGTGTGTGTGTGGGGGGGGGGGGG